CCGGGCACGTAATTAGTCGATAAGTAGAGACGATTTGCCGCGAGTAACGTAACGAGTCCTAATGACTTCTAAACAACTAAATGACCGAGCGGGTTCGGTGTATGCGCGGCGCGCCGTACGCAGCGTGCCGCGGAAAAGCGAGGAGCGTATCGCTTATCGCTCTGGAAAAGCGCTTTACTGGCGGACCGCAATCTCCGCGTCGTTTAGTTTCTCAGCGTCGATTTCACGGAAAGTTTCGTGCGGAAAGGCATTGCGGTCGATCGTGACTGCCATTGCATGTATGTATGTACGTAATGTGTATGTGTGTGCGCGCCCGCGCGTATGTCGTTGCAATCGTTCAGATGACTCATTGTTGAGCGTAATTTACGTGCGTGCGTGTTGGTTGATCACTCGATGAATGAGACGTCTGTTAAGGGAACTGGAAGTAACGTAACGTTTTCGAATTATTCATCGTGCCGTGCGTAGTCCTCGAATAAGAATTCTTCAAGGAGATCGGTTCTTGATTTGATAAATCTCGCATCGTAAAGACCTATCTAATATTTATGAGAAAAAAAACGAAAAGAAAAACATCGCGCGTGAATCGAGCAGTTGTTCGGATAATTTCATCGTTGAGCGTAATTAACGTACAATTGATGGCGATTAAATAGATGTCTATAAGGAATTTAATAGGAAAAAAACACGGGGAAGAACGGTTGTTAGATAAATCCATGTGTTTCCGAGGAAATTACCGTAATTTGTTAATCATGATGACTGCGCATTATCCGTTGTTAATAGAACGCATTTATTTTATCTTCTGTCATAATTTATTTTTCCACAAAATTTAAGAAGAATACTCAAATATACGTGCAAAGTCAATTCAAAGTGTCAAAACGAGGTAAACGTTCTCCAAGAAGTTGCAGTAACTTGGGTAGCATTTTGCATGATTGATAGAAATTTGTCAAAAATAAATTCTCACGTAAATAAATGAAGTCTTGCTTCAAAGTCTTTCAAGTTCACATGGAGGTCCATTTAAGGTCCATCGATCTGGACACACAAAGCAGCGTCTGTCGGCGTGTTCTCGCGCGGGATTGATTCAAGATGCGGTTTTTAGGTATTACAGCGTGGTCGCGCAGCTTTTGTTGAATCTTCGCGGCAAAGTTCTGGTTTTCGGCGAGCGTTTAGCCCGGGACGGGAGAAAAAGGGAGCAGAGTCCGCGTCGCTGTGGCGCCCGAGGTGTGGCCGGCGCCTCCGCGAAGAAGCGCCGAGTCACACCGCATCGGGGCGTGCACCGAGCAACAAAACTTTAAGCGGGCACTTAAGAAGCCGCCCGTCAGTCAGGAGCGTCACTAATTTTCCCGGCTTTTTGCCGCGGCGGCCTCCACCTTCTCCGCGCGCGGCCCCTCGCGCGACGATACGTGCCGCGGCCGCGGCGCGCACACGTGCCTCCCCCCCGCGCGACTTCGGTCGGTTTCCTCATTTTCATCCTATTAATTAAGCGCGGCTGAGTGTCAACATGGCGAAAATTAATTAGCGTACGCCGCCACGCCGTGGCTACGTCGAAGAACGGCGAGAAAGGAGAGAGCGGGAGAGGGAGGAACTCTTCACGGCTCCAAGTATTGCGCGAGACATGTACAAAGATTAAAGCGCACGTCATGCTGATCTGTAATTTATGCCGCGCGCGATATACGGGACTTCGCACTTTGACGGTATATTTGATGAAACGTGTAGCAATTAATACAGGTTCCAAAGGGGTACACTAGGTCTGATTCCGTTGACACGGGGATACTTATTACATCGCGGGTGTATCGTACCGCGTTACGATTGTTTCTTCCAACAATAAATCTATAATACGTCGATCGGAAATTTATCGTGAAAATTCTTTCCAAGCTGCAACAATTCATTCTGAAGCAAGAAAATCGTGCGAAAAGCGCTTCTGTTTATCTTGCCAGACTATTTTGTACAAGTATTCAAAATTCGATCGATCATCAGCAGCTCGCTCGTGCCGGAAACGTTCACGTTTTCAATTCGACACGCATGAACTAACAGACAAAAGCCGAGTTTATTTCTCGAATCGGCATGACGGCATGCAGGCGAAACGCAAACGAGATATAACGCGATATAACAGTAATTCACGCGGGCTACGCAAGTTCTGTATCAAAAGCGATCCTTAATCACCGTTGTCCATTACGCCGATCCGGCGTAATGAGCGAGCAAACTGCCGACTGTAGAAATAAATAGCCGTAACGATTACGCCGTGTACAATTGCGATGTGCCGCGTGGAGCGCCGCGCCGCTCCGCGCCGACGTGATATGGGAAACGAGCAGCAGCGTCTTTGAAAATCGTGGACTCGGCGGCACGCAATTACGCACGAAAAAATTGAACGGCCGCCGAAATGCAGGCAGTCTTTCACGATCGGAGCGGAGCGGAGCGGCGCGGCGCAACGCTTGGCAGCGCTCGCTGCCTGTCATTACGCCATTCGCTCCACCGGTAATTGACAGTCTAATGACACAGTCTAGAGTCTGGGCGCTCGCCTCGCCCGGCCTTTTCGTACATCGTACATCACGATCTACGAGGATCCTCATTAACGATTCGCCTTCTTTGTGCGCGATCGGCCGCTTGTCTAAACTAAACGGCCGCCGGCAGAAGTCGCGAAGTCATGACTTGTGGGTGTTCCCTGCTAATCACCGTACGTTCAGCGCGACGGGAGGAACAAGAGAGTAGTGATAATTAAGTAGCGTAATGAGATCAATATAGCCGGCGTGGTAGATTTTGCATATCGGGCGTAAGAATAAAATCGACATTTTAATCGAGATTTCATCAGAATTTTAGTTTCGAATAGGCGTACCATAAGAATGTAAAAACATAAGGAAAAAACGAAAAACTATTTTTAAACATTACGTTTGCTAATGGAAAAAAATAAAAAAGAATTTTTTTACGTCGTTTTATTCTTAAAATTATTATCACGAATAAAATAGAAAAATATTTTATGCAACTACGTTATGAAAAATTTAAATATAGTTCTGATATTATTTGTCGCCTGTAGTTTTTCAAGAAAGGAGAATGGTATAGAACTTTCCTCGCCGATGTTACACTCGTTTATTCGGGACGAAGCGTGTCGAAATGATTCCGCGGGACCATCCATGGCATGCGATTTTAATTTCGTTCGGTAAACTTTTGACGCGGGGTTTGCGAGCCGACCAACAAGCCTGCTGATTAGATTGGAAAGAGGTAGATGGCCCATGAAAAACTACGAAACTATAGGCGCCACTGGATGACTTTGCGAAATCGCATTTACAAAGGATGCCGCAGAGGATTTTGAAACCGATTCCAGCTGCCTGATTTTACTTTCGTAAAGGAACCGACATGATAGACCTGAGGTTAATCTTATAACGGATCAGTGTAAAACAACAGTCTCAATATTATCAAAAAACAGACCTTTTCTCTTTAGTATAGATATATTTGCTAATGTCTTGTATTAATGGGGTATTCTAGTTTGAATGGTCGTAAAAAAAAGGTATTTTTCAGGAACTTTGTAGAGAAACGAAAAAGTCAAATAACGGTAAACTTTGCATGTTCTTTTAGCCTTATTTTAAAAATATATTTTTATTTTTTAAGTAACAAAAATGCTATTGTTTTCCATGTTATACCCTGATCACTAGGAGATATAAGTTTGTAAATGATGGACAGTGTAAATGATTTTAGTTCTAGGTATCTTCTTTTATCCAGAATAGAAACATTGGTTTAGTTTTTGTTCAGACGATAGCCACATTTTTCCTGAATAAGAAAATTTTTGGTTTTTGCATTCCAGATACCTAGAACAGGTAGAATCATTTGCATCGTCCATCATTTACATCTCCCAGTGATCAGGGTATAACATAGAAAAGAAAAGCATTTTTGTTACTTACAAAATAAAAATACATTCTTAAAATAAGGCTAAAAGAACATGCAAAGTTCATTATTCGTTCTTCGTTTGCCTATAAAAAATTCCTGAAAAATACCTTCCAAACCAGAATACTTCTTTAAGTTTAGAAAGAATATTTTCCGTTTTTGATAGCGTCGAAGTTCAAATAAGTTGCACGCTTGTTTCAATATACATTTTAGAGTTCCTTCAGAAATTTATAATATTGATTTAATTGTACAATTTTTTTAATAATTCTCGAAAAAGAAATCTATGTGTCGTAACGACGAAAATTATCTTTAGCTTATTAAAGTGTCGACGAGGACGATATTCTTATAAGATGGACCGCAAAACCGGTAACGGAGGCGCATGACTCTCGAGATACTTGCTTGGGTTTTGACCAACGATCCTCGCGTTTAACCACGTAAACAACGCCTTTGTTGGCCGCCGCGATTTCCATTTACGGATTCGACACGCGCCGGCACAAAGAACCGCGCCGCCATACTTCCGAGACGGGGGATCGTGATGAGGAGCTTTCCATCCGATATTCAACAATGTATAACGCGAGCATCGAGAGATCGATCGAGCGTCATGGTTCAACCTTTGTCTCTTTAGAGTCAAACTTTTAACGGCTATTCAACGGTTTTTTACGCGCAGCCTCATCATGTAGTCAATCGCGCGCTGAAAGGCAGATACTTCTAGTAATTATCTTTCAATAAAAATTTTCTCAGTATCTCTTTTAATAAGAAACTCGATCGAAAAAGTTAAACGGTATATGACGTTCATGAAAATTATTTTTAAGTTTTTGATATTACTTAAGAGAAAAAGAGGCTATCGTTTTTTATAAAAAATAATTATAATTAAACATAATAAATAATAATAATTTCCAAAACTTATTCCCATCAGTATTATATGTAATATTATATGTAATATTACAATGCTAAAATGTTATCAATACATTTTATTCGCGGTTTAGGGGCCCAGTCCTGAATAAATTTTTAAACGTAAAAAAACTACCGTGTCGCGATTGTTGCCTGAGGGCGATCACAAAACTAATTATCGTCCGCATATGTCGCGTTGTGTCTCATTTAGAAATTAGTAACGGGTCTCTCGTTTCGCTTACCTTCTGTTTTGGTACCACGTTTTCACTTGCGTGTCTGTCAGCTGCAGTTTCGCCGCCAGCTCCATCCTGTCCTGCACGCTGAGGTACTTTTGCCGTTCGAAGCTCTTCTCCAGAGTCTGAAGTTGGTGATCCGTAAAAGCTGTGCGCGCCTTACGCTGCTTCTTACTCTGCGCGGAGCTCAAGGAACTCGAGGACGAGCTTTTAGGATCATCCTCTTTGCCACCTGAAATTGCAAAACTGTTGATATTGAACGTCTCCTTGCTTTCCTTCTGTCTCGTCGTGCGACTTAGCTATAAAGTATAAAGTTATATCTCCAAAAGGAGGAGAAAGCAACGATTCTGGAAATTGAGTATGCACTAATAAGAGCTACTTAAATGTTTAATAAATAACAATCTGTAACTTAATTACAATTATTTATTATTTTTGGGAATTATATAACGAGATTTCACTTGTTTAGTTTCGAGTAAACTTTATTTCAACTAAATTTTTACCCTCCAAGATTTATATTTTTTGAAATGCTATTTATAAGTTTCACGATATTCGTATATATCACTAATACAACTATTTTACCAAAAAGATCGCCGTAAAGAATCGCCGGTCTATCAGGAATTGCGAAGTGCCGGAGTGCCAAGCTTTTGTTTTCGCGAAGGGTGGAATCAATGCCGCGCGCGTGGATTATACGCGGTAGTTGTTTTTGTCGTTGCCTGCATGGCGATTGCAGCCGCCTCTCTCATCGGCGAAACAGAAAGGGAGAGGGAGATAGGGAGAGAGAGAGAGAAAGAGAATGGGATCCTTTTGTTCTCAGTTCGACTCTCCGCGCAGCCGAGAGCCGATTGGCTGGTATCGCGGATTGGACCACGCAGCCGCGTCGAGACGCCGCAAATTATCCCCCCGATACGTCGTCGTATCCGGAGAGAGATAGAGAAAAGAGAGGGTGGGATTCCCCGAGGAAACCGATTACACCCGATACGAGTCACACTCACACGCGGCGCACAGTCGCGCGCCCGTGCCATGCTTATTTCATCCCTCTCGAAACTCATTACGCCATCGTTCTTGTCTCTGTCGTAAAAGAACAGCCCGATGAGGAACAGGTGATTTTCCACTTTAACAGAACGGGGAATTGAGGGCAGTTATCAGAGAGAAGTAAATGATGTCAATAATATGATGGAAAACACACAGGATAAGAAATTTGGTCACTCTCACAGATTTTCAAACTATATTATAGGAGTGATAAATATTATATTTGTTGCCTCGATTAAAGTTTAAAAAATTTTGGAGAGTGACCAAGTATTATACCCGGCTTTTCTCATTATATTATCTCAAAAGAGAAAAAAGATAGAAAATAGACGCAGTTTCTACAAATATTGTTTACGATCGGTTTTTTCACAATAATTTTCACATTGTGTAAATTTTTGGAGCAGTTTTTTTTTAAATATAGAAGAACTCTTTGCGCCTCGTCAGATAAATTATCCAACCCTCTTCGAATTACCTCGCAGCGGGGGGACGTGTCTTGTCACGAGTAAATCGAGCAACCTCCCGAGAAGTCCCGATCAGAAAACCATCGAGACTTAACCTCCTGGGGGAATAAAAGCCCGCACAGGCTTCTAAAAGTATCTAAAGGCCCGTTGTCGCGAGCTCATCGATTGGAACGGTCGTGGATGGCGCGGAGAGAAGCATCCTGGCAGGAGGTGGAACCAATGGGGGATGTAGCCAGGAATAACATAGCTCCGGAAGGGAAACGGCGAAGGGAGGAGGAGATCGGGAAGATAGAAAGCTCGTGGATTGAGTTAACCCGGACGAAAGCGCGGCTCTTAGCCCCCGTTTGATCGGCCAGATTCGCTCGAACGGGTCCAGACTCTACCGCGCCATGTTGGCTACCATGGCGTACGCGCGCGCTCACCCTCCCCCTCCCCCCGATTCCCTCCCCAGAAAAGGCTTGGAACAAGGAGCTCCGTCCTGGCTGCATCAGCACCACAGCTCGATTCGAGCTCCCGAGACTTGTCCACGAAACGGAGGAAAGGGGTGGACGCGAAAAGGAGCTTAGGGTGGGAGGGAGGGGGGACGGGAAAATATAAGAGTGGAACGGTGGAAACGGAGGTTGGAAAACTAAATTTACTATGTGATACACTTAGAGCCCAGGTCCCGACCGACGTCGGAGTTCTCCTTTTGAGACACTTCCAAGACGTTAGGCGGAACTTTTCCCACTCCCAAACCCCCTGCCCTTCCTTTGCGCAGTAACTCGAGAACCATCGCGAAACATCCATCCCTCTTTTTTCCCAGCCGCGGGCGTCCGCCCGCCGTTCGTCTGCGAGGCACGTAGCCCAGGGCTCAGGGCTTATCTGTGTCCGCCTCGTCCTTACGAGCGTGTTCATGCGCCACTCTTTACCCCAGCGTTTTCACTTTGATGCGAAATGGCGACGCCTGCGATCGGCTTTACTCAAAGTGGTCTCCATCCCCGGATTGAAGTCACGATTTGCGATCATATATGCTTCTTGCGAGATAAAATTAAAACGCGCAATACGTAGGTGCAAAATAAATCGATGAGCAAAGATGATAGAAGTTAAATCGTATACTTCAATTGTCTTCGAATAACGCGTGTCATAAGTGATGCTATTAATACATGTTCTTCGAAACATTATACAATAGCTATTATGCTTTTCGTTGGCAGCAAAAGTAGGAAATTGTTAAAACGTAAAAAAAACTCCTTCCAGGTTATTCGCTCTTTATAGCGTTGCTCTTCTGAACCTAATGATTCAATGTGAGGGATGATCGATATTTTTTCCCTCAGTTATAACAATAATGTGACATTACAAATTCCGCACATTATTCATTACACCATAAAGCCATCCAATTATCTGCTCGATAGTTGCAATATTACCCAGTCCCATCAATATAATTATACGGCGACACATTACACATCGAAATAAACTCATCAATATGAACTTTCTTCGCGAATACAAAGTGCGGCTCGTTGCTCGTGACGGGGCGCATCATTCATCAAACAAAACATACGCACCAAATCGCGCGTGTGTGACGATCAAACGAAACTTTAGCGTTTTAAAATGGATCTGTTCTGCGTAAGGCAGTGGTCTGAATTCGCTCCGTAGACTTTTCTCTCTCTTGTGCAGAATATTTCAGCCAAGTTCTCAAAATACTCTCAAGATGTTACCGGCAACTTCGTCTAGCCGCTAAAGTAACTCGAGCATCTTCTTTCCTTTTGGGGACTAGGACAGTTTTCCTTTATCTTTCCACATCTTTTGCCGACACGACACGTAGTCACCGGGTTTTATGTAGACTTGTCTATGGTTATAAAACGTGTTACGGCGACTTTTTACTCTGTATGTTGAGTTCACGAAACAAACGAGTGGGCTCCCGAAGGGATTTTTCGAGTAACGTGATCGTGAATAAAGCTATATGGATAAAGTGGATAGGCGAAGCGATCAGGTTTAAGCTTTATTTAATGTTGCTGTTAAAATTCTTTTTTTTTATCACAACGATGTCGCAATTTTGAGCAGAAACTTCCAAAAAAGGTTTTAAAACTGGCAAAATTTTGAAGAATTTAAATTTTAATAGTATAAATTATATATAAAGATGATCTTTATAGTCTTTTATGACAATAGAAACATGATAACTGATGTGGTAGTATATTTTTCCAGATCCGTAGCATCGCAAAGCGAATCTACTGAGATTAGGTGTAATGATTTCGATCCCCGAGAATCGAGCGGAAAATAACATTTTAAACGCGCATTTTCCCAACGCGTTTTACTACCGACGTTACGTGTGACATGCGACAATAGCTCCGCGTTAATTAACACTAACGCTCGCGAGGTATTCGTGTTCCATAAGTCACGACGGTAAGCGTCATTTCCACTGTCAAGCGGCGAAATGTATTTTAAAGAGGTTCTCGCAAACATGGCGCCCGTAACGGATGTGCCGCGCCAGTGAAAATCATGACGTGTTCTCAAGTCGCATTACGTGAAAGAGAAAGAGCAAGGGAGAAGGACAGGGAAGAATGGAGGAAACGAGGGGGACTTGCGTGCCACAAGCATCGCCGCGATACAATGTATGGCGCATAAAAGTGAGATTAACAGGATGTTTATCGAGCAATTATGCGCCGCTGCAATTAGTGCCAGCATGTTGCCGTCGTCGTCCACGTCGTCGCGGTCAAATCGTTCACGTCGCCATCATCATGGTTTATGCACCAATTGTGATTGCAATTTTCAAACGCACGAGTTTTAACAAATTCATTAAAGCAAAATGGAATCTCTTAAACGTCATATAAATCATTGGAAAAAAACTCTTGCGTTTGTAGATTTTGTTCATCGTTTTATATCTCATATTTTTAAGTATATATACAATAATCTTTAAATATTCAATACTTATTTAATGTACACAAATTGAGAAATTAAAAAAAAATCAGGCATATACCATCAAATATTTCTACATTTACATTATGCGTATACGTATATTTATATTTATTTCATTTATATATTTATTTTCTTTTTACAAAATTTTATGATTATTTTTCTTAACGTGCATTTTTCGCTGAAATTTTTAACGAGCTATGTCTACCGACTCCACTGACTGTATCGACAATTTTCGAGTAATCGTTAATAATGGTTATTTTGCACAAGTGTGAAAAGACAAAAAGAGAAAGAAAGATAAAGAGAAAAAAGGAAAGGGAGAAAAATGTAGATTTCTCTCATAAAGAAATTATATTATAGCCATTAAATATAGCGACAAGCAACTTCCCGAGCAATCGAGCACTTTGACATCGTTACTGGGCCAAGGACTGCATGCGAAAACTTGCAGACACTGTGACGAATGCGCAGGATGTAGAGTGCAGCGCAAGTAGCTGTAGCCGAGGGAGTCAGCCGGACGGATCGTAAAAATGGGAATAATAAAACTTTCGCAAAGCGTTGCCTCGCACTTTATGATCTTGGCGGATGAAGGTGGGGTGGAAGGGTTGCTAAGGCGAAGAGTGGGAAAGAGAGGAGGGAAAAGCCGGAATTTCCATTGTGCTGCGCGCCCGCGATTTTATTTGCTTATTGCTTTATTTCGCGCTGAGTGCATCGCGTAAGTAATCCAAAAGAGCGACAAAGAGGGACAAAGAGAGAGAAAGAGAGAGACAAGGAGACCCGAGAAAGGTTACAAACCTATATTTTTGCTTATAAAGTTCACTCTTTTATAAGTACAAAAAATATATATGCAGTTTATATAATC